TTACGTAACTTTTATGATATTAAAGTCACTTCTCTCACCACACACACACACACATATATATATATATATATATATATATATATATATATATATATATATATATATATATATATATATATATATATATCATAAAAGAAAACAATTTATACAAAGAATTAAATAGCAATGTTAATGTGATTAATGGCGAAATCACTTCGCCAACAGAAATTAACGAGACATTAACTTACTATCATTTCCTTGAATAATAAGATACTTATATTCGAGTTATTGTCAGATGGAAGACTCATACCAAGCACTTTCGACATTTTCAAATTGACATCTTCAGGGCACAGTTTTCTTATATATAGGCAAATACTAAGATGAAAGATGTGAAGACCGAAAGATGTTCTTTTTTTTTTTTTTTAATTATGCTATTTATTGACAATTGAATATATGTTTTAGAGCGTGCGATGTCGCGACGCTAAAGTTACGCCCCAAAACATGAGGGGGGGGGACACACAGATAGATAGATAGATAGATAGATAGATAGATAGATAATAAATTAATTAAATAATTAAGAAATTACCATACCTTAAGTTTCTATGACCATTAGTATAGACATGGAAAGTTAAGGTTATTTCTTAATTATTTAATTGATATTTGCTCTGGTTTCACATCCTCTTTGGAATTATTCACACAGATTACTAAACCCTTCATTACTTTACTAGATAGATAGATAGATAGATAGATAGATAGATAGATAGATAGATAGATAGATTTCAAAGTTATCCATAGCACCATACAGGTAAGGTAATAAAAACTCAGAGTTTGAGTTTAATTGAAAATTCTGTAAAAACATATGGAAGCTGTTGCTTACTTTTAAATAAATAAGCCCTTCCTGTCCGTTGAGAATAAGTCATAGCGTCCACAAAATAAGGGCTGTTAGGAAAGATCGTTTGTCTGTGGATTGACGAAACTTGATTTTTATTCACAACAAATATGCCATGGTCTCTAAAGTAATACTGCTTGTTGTCAGGACCTGTAACATAAAAACAATAATTTCTGTATTAGACTTCGATTGATTCAATCCAACTTTGTCTTCAAGATAAAAAAAAATTCCCAATGGACCCCAAAGTAATCGGATATCGCTTTAGAACTAACCAAAAAAAAAAGTAACAAGTAAAAAAAAAAAAAGAAAAATATTCCACGCGTTCCAATTTTAATTATACTTTGAAAACAATTTCAAATTTTGCTTTGTAAATTAATCAGATTTGTTGTTCTATGATTGAGATTTTCATTTTTATTATAAAATTATTAAATCTTTGTATTATGTATGCAGCAATACTCCCTTTCTGGTCTGATTCGGTTCTTGTAGAGACAGTACATAGCAGGAAGATTCGGATACTTTCTGGGGCGTTACAAAGAACCGAAAACCTTCAAGGGGTTGATAAACCGTAAAAAACGAATCAATAAAAGCAAAGAACCGGCTATTTTCCCAGCGTCTTTAGCGATGGATTGTATAAGATGTAATGAATATGCATACACCTGGGTTCCCCCTTACAGTAATATGATTAGCTGGTGTCAGCCATAAATACAGACTGGTGTGGAGGTACATAGAGGACGCCTATTGACTATGCCTATTGATTACGCCTACCACTACGACGAGGACCAGTCCATTACTGTTACCTGCTAGATTGTCCTACCCGGTTACAGTAATCAACAACCACTTTGCTACTTCGAACAAATATATCCCTTTCCGAGACATATCAGTATATATAAGTTTTATAAGGTCTGGGGTGAAAGGACACCCATCCATCATTATACGTGTAATTTCATAGTCTGTTTGGTGATGGTGGAACGTCACTAGTTTGGTCTTGGAGGCACTGAATGCTACAAGTCAATCCTTACCCCATTGCGTCAGTAGGCCGAGGTCAAAGGAGAGATCAGCGACCAAGATCCTAGTCATCCATATTTTTGGAAGAACTTCTATAAATAATTGTATCGCCTGCACAGATATTCAATAAAGATTTGAGAAAGGCTTTAAAGCTATCATTAATATAAAACAGAGAAAGAGAGTAGAAACTGGGAAAAGAACATTATGGAACGTTGACATTGAACTCATGGACCAACCTATTAGGAAGAACAATTATCGAAGAAAGACCTTCCAGAAATTCCATAGCTGGAGTGTTTGTTTAACAACCCTCGCAGACATACCATGTCAAAGGCCTTTGATATATCTAGGGCGATGGCCCATGTAATAAATTTATTGTCTAACGCCTCACTGATTTTGATAGCAATAGCCGTTAGAACATCGGCAATGGATCTAGCAGAAAGAAATCCATACTGCTTAACGCTCAGGAGTTTGTTCTTTTTGAGGCGTTCAACACATGTATATGCGTGTGTGTATGTACAGGAGGAGTGCTCCGAAAGAAATGCTTTCCGTTTGTCTCCACGGCGACTACTGCAAATACAAAGTACACACTATCACCGTGTGATTGAGCAAGTCTTTCCAAATGGAAAATAGTGGTTGACAACTGAAGACTTGTCATTTTCATGGCAGCGATGTCGTGTTGCCAGCAAAATAAATCCCTCATAGTTCATCGGCCCAAAAAATGTGGCTTGTTACACACAATACTGTTTAAGCGCATTACTCACTGCCTGACTGTGCTCACATCTATGGTTTATAAAATGTTCTTTAATTTTCTTACCTTTGAATACTGCCTGGAATTTGTTGGTTTGACAAAATGATAATCTTGAATTCAGACCTGGAAGAAGATAAAGATAAACAGATGTTAGATAATCCGTATGGTGAGTAGCATTCCGACCAGAAGACTCGGGTTCGAATCTTACCATGGCCGATTTTTCAGAAAGATGAATTCTTTGATAATACCGGCACCTGAAATGAAAGAATTTGGGTAGACGAAACTGTTCAGTAACCGTCTATGGCTGTGTTAGCAAAAAGCCATAAGTCATCGTGACCGATAGTTTCAGTGTATTGATAATATTTAACAGCCCCCCCCCAACGAGGGATGTATGTGGCACAAGGCCGAGTTTACCGTGGTTCTTCGAGCCCGTAGACTCGGCCAAAAATATTTCCTTGGAACCCGCATAAACGGGTTCAAGGCCTGTCTACCTCCCCAGGCGAAACTCTGCCCTTCAGCAAAGCCTCGTCCAGGTTCCTCTCTGCTCAAGGCAGAGAGTTTGGCAGTAATGAACAGTCTAGCACTGTTCCACTGCTTCAGCGTACTGATCATTCCAGACTCACTCAGAACTAAGATTTACCCTGCACAGTTCTCATATAAACCACAGGTTTGCAAGGTGAAGAGACACAGACGTGCCTGAGTAGGCGTCTGCAACAGAGATCAGGGGGTCGCTCTAGCAGGGGGTGGGGGCATACTCGAAAATGAACAGCCAGCCATTATTATATTACTTGAGCACTTAAACCTAGAGACATAGTTTGACTATTAGTTGCAACATAATAAGTTCTGCTCTGACTAAGCAAACTTAGTAAATATCATAGATATACTGTATACATATATTAGTAGATAATACTAAGAATACTGTACAGAACCACCGTGAAGAAAGACTTAAGATATTCGAAGCTATTTAAAAAGAAAAGAAACCGGATTAAATAGCTTTCATCATAAGTTACTGTTTTAAATTTAAAATAAAATATATAAAATGCGTATAAAATATTTAATAATATATTTCTACGATCAAGCTCTGGGGAACCATTATATACATGGTGTCACTTATACAATATACGTATATCTAAACGTAGAAAGGCTTACGGTCATATCACGTTGAAACGCCAGTTACGACAGGATCACCGCAGTTAAGCAACGTCGAACCTGGTCAGTACCTATATGGGTGACCGCTTGGAAAAGCAGGTGTTGTAAGCTTGAATGTGCGAGTGGATAATGGCTTGGAATTGTTAATCGGAGAACCGAGTTCCAATTCCTGTTGGGTTCGTTATATTCACTTACACATAAGTACCCTTGGGAAAGGTACGAATCTACTTCTCCCCCAGCTATGGATTAATTAGTAATTAAATATTTAATCATTATTATCTGAAATGAAAAAAAAATCTTAAAATCTAAAAATATTTTCTGGCTTTAAATAACCTGAAAAGAGTTGATAAGCTATAAAAAATGAATCAATCAAAAATTTGAAATGTAGCATTCCAAATATTCCAGGGTAAAGCTAACATAAACATTGCGATACTGGCAATATTAACCTCCTTGATAATGTCAGAGTTAAAAGTATTTGAACAAAAACATGAAATTTGAACAGTTTCTTCACATATTTGATCCGGATGTGTACATTGGAAAAACATAGTAAATTCGACAGACAAACTGTTTTGGTTAAAATTGTTTCATTGCATTTCTCGCTGCCTAAATATACGATATATCAGGTGTATTTGGGCAGCATTTTTTTAATTTATGCAGGTTTAGTTGAAAATCAACGAAAGTTCTTATTTTATTTAGTTTTTCTACTGTTCAAACCATTTTTCTGGTTTCCAGAGAGATTTTGAACACAAATTGCTCAATGTCTTCAAAGTACGTTCTATCAAAGAATTCTTGTGGCTTAATAAAGTCGTATCGAAAAGTATGCATTGTGTTTCACTAGTGGTTTTACAAGAGTCACGTTTTCACGGGTCAGTAGGTGTCATGTCGGTTTTTTCTTTTCTTTCAAATATCACACATTTTCAACCATCATTTTGTGGTGGGCTGTCGTTTACTTTATTCTATTTTTCTTCTTTTTTTTTTTTTTTTTTGATAATGGCTGAACACTAGGAATGGAGGAGACATGTGGAATATGTTTTTGAATGAATAAAAAAAGAGGATTGGTGACAAGGGCAATCACTTGGATATTTAAGTGGATTGTTTACCAACGGAAAAATCCTTTCCGTCTGAATTTATGGAATGAGGAGTTAACATTACTTACACTATTTATATTCAAACTCATCTTCGTTGTTATCACACTGTTTCGGCCGTTTTGCTCTCCGGCCTTCCACAATTGTATATCAATCTGGGTAACCTACGGTGAATTCAGAAAACCCTTTTTTTAATTTACAGGGGTAGACTACTATCACCCCACTGCTCATATCAACGGATATCGTCTAGTCTTTTTTATTATTATTATTTTTTTTATTTAGCACTGTTCAGTTATTGTTCGCCCGTTTCCGGTGAGTAGTTTCCATTGCAAGTTGACACTGCCCGATCCAGGGATTGAACTCACGACCACTATGTCACCAAATTCACGAACCAACGTTTTTTGTTTTTTTTATCCACTAGGCCATTAAATAAATTCAAATAATTGGTAGATATTTTTAAATAGTTTACTGCACAATTTACACATTAACAGATAGTTAAAAAAAAACAAAAAAAACAAACAAACTATAGAGCAATCGTTTGTTAGATGATTGTTCGAATCTGCCAATAAGTACTCCTGCATACAATTCCATTTTTCAATTTCATCCTTTTCAGTGGATATCAACATATATGATTTCAAATTCTCCTCAGACAGCGAATTTCTTAATCTTGTCTTTTTGAAAATATCCTCTCAATGAAGTAACTGTTAGTGTGCAGACGACTTTATAAAGTTATTATTCCTTTTTAATACTAAACATACTATTGCGTTTTTATTTGCTATTGACGGGTTATTCCATCAAGGTCCTACTTGACATCGGGAAAGTTGACACCCTAGTCATTCTGCCACTGGAAGTGGGTGTATGTTTGGATTTAGGTTCAATGAATGTGTTGCATAAATACACATTATTTATGCAGATAAATGTGGATAAATATGTTTAGACATGCATAAATATACACATAATTTCACGTAAACACAAGTTTATATGCCAAAACTCACGCTCCCACACACGCATATTTGTCTTTAACCTTTACATATCTACATACGTTGTCTATGTATTTTCCGTCTGAATTATACGCAGAAACATTCATCAATTCCACCGTATATCATTTATATGTACTTTCCATTATTTTTAAGACAATTCTACATCTAAATTCTGTTTTTTTTTTTTTTATCTTATTCATAAATTTTATTTATGTTAGTTTTCGTTTCTCTCTTTTTCCCTCCCAACCTCTCATATGTATATGAATGTATAGGATTAATACAAATATAAAATTTGTCACTTAGCTGATTGATATTATATTCATCACACCGACTCCAGAGTTTCGTCTCTTTTTGTAATCGTTCGATCCACTCGACAGGAGGCTTCAGCAATTGACAGTGGATTTTCTCATTTTTGTTATTTTATACTAAGTTAAAAAGTAATTTATATAAAGGGTTTTCCAATAACTTGGACCGATTTTAATGTGAATTAAGTTTAAGCGTCTAATGATTTTTTTTCTTTCAGATTTGGCGGACATTTGGGCGATATTATTTATCACACATAATTGTCATGACTTAAATAACATGATACAATAGAGAAATAAATATTCACCAATAACACTGATTTATTTACTGCTGATTTTGATCAGTCTTAATGGAGCACCCTTATATATAATCCGTTTTAATGAAACACCATTTATATGAATAAAGACAAAACGAAAACTTATATTAACCAATGCATTTCATCTTCTGATGGACTTTATTAAGGCAAATCTAAGGATTTTATTTTGCAACAAGTAACGAAATCCATCGGCTAAGATAAAATTTTGTCTTTATTCCTATTTTCTTTTTACATAAATATTTTTTAATAATATTCTAATTTTTACATACGTACACGTATATGCATATATGAAAGGAATACACATATATACATATATCATGCTAAAAAAATTATGCATAAAACTGTAGGTGTGCGTTGTTGAGCACGATGGTGGTAGATATCCATCTACCTTTTTTAATTTTATGCAATGCATGTTTGTCACTTTGATAACTGACGCTATGCAATCTTTCAAAAGCCACCAGCCTTTCAAGCATTATTTATGCGAAGGTCGCTGCTAATTCTCAATTCGATACACTTCCCAACATTTGATCAAATGACCAAATCTTTTCAGCAAACTCTCGTATATATATATATATATATATATATATTTAGATTATCACATTCTGGTACAGTGCTATATGTGAGTTTGTATGTCGCAATACAGTCTTCCAGAAAGAGAGTGCCTACATGCATTGAAACATTTTAAATGATCGCTTTTACCCGGATTCAAGCATCGAACCGCTTAGAAAAACGTAACTACTTTAGCCACCAAGCAAAGTAAATACTTAAGACCGGTAAAGTCGTTTGCTCTTCAACAATTCGTCGCGTTAGCATCTTCTTTAGGTCAGGGTTTTCCCATGAGCCAGAATCTAGGCTTTGGTAAATTTTTCTCCTTTCCAAATTTACGCAATTTAGTTTCAGTCAGCAAAACCTAACGCTAAGTTACGGGTACCAGAAAAAAAAGAAGAAAAAAGAAGAAAAAGAAGAAGAAAAAAAAAAAAAGAAAAAGAAGAAGAAAAAGATGAAAATAAGATAATGTACACAAGACGAATTTCTAAGACAAACATGTGTCTGCCTATGACATAAGAATGGCACATAGTAGCCCATCTACGTATTCAAGTCAGTAACTCCGCATTTACAGCAAAGTTTAAATAATCGCATTGTAATACAAGATGCAGGCCATCAAAAACTCACACAAGGACACTCCCAGTTAAGTACGAGGGTGTAAAAAACAACACACATAAACAGAGAAACAATTGATATATGAGAGATTTTGAAAAACAAAAATGAAAATCCTTCAAAATTTCCAAGTCTATTTTTATATTCTAAATTTCCCCATATTTCGTAACTTTCAGGCAAATAATCTATCTTTGTTCATATCTATCTATCTATATATATATACATATATATATATCTTAGTCTATATTATTTATGTGCAATAAGTATATGCAAATATGTGTGTATATATATATATATATATATATATATATATATATATATATATATATATATATATATATACCAAGTATATAATAGGTGTATACGGAATGAATTCCAATAACCAACAATTACTATTCTTAAAAGAGTGCTCAATACAGAGTAGAGCAGATATAATTATCCATTTAAAAAATTATAACATAAATATGTTATAAAATCACTACAAAATAGCCATTTTTTTTCAACACCTCCGGTGTCTTATCAAGTGATGATGTAGAATGTAAAATAAATGGGAAAAAACATTTATTTTACATTCTACATCATCACTTGATAAAACACCGGAGGTGTCGAAACAAAAATGGCTATTTTTGTAGTGATTTTATAAATATATTTATGTTATAATTTTTAAATAAATATTATACATATATATATATATATATATATATATATATATATATATATATATATATATATATATATATATATATATATATATATCAATGTGAAGAGAACGAAAGTAATATATAAATTCCAACGTTCACAACATTAATCCAAAAGAGGCTCGATGCCGATAGTAGAGCGATGATTATTTATTTATCATAATTTTATCATATGATCATTTTCGATTCTCACCCGTCGAAGTGCAGTTGAAATGCACTGAAACGAAGTTTCATCTTTGTAGTGAATAAAATGATTTGTCTATATGATAAAATTATAATATATATATATATATATATATATATATATATATATATATATATATATATAATTTAATTAGGCAGTAATTGTTCTTTTAAACATGTTTTTGTCTAATCTGGAATACTGAAAAATGTCACCAGATTTAACGTTTCAGCTCCTAAACACAAATGGTAACAACTGTCGCAGAAATTAACCGGTTACCGCTTCATCCCCTTACTTCGAATGGTAACAACTGTCGCCGAAATTAGCCGATTACTGTTTCAGCCCCTAAACTTGAATGCTAGGGTTAGCCAGTTATCGTTTCAGCCACTAAGCAATTTCATAGACTAATATCTAAGTAAAGTCTTGGAATTAACGTAACAATTAAATAATTACGTGCCCGTTCGAATACGCATGACAGACCAATAAAATGGGATTTTTTTCAAAGCACAAACATCTATAGAAAATGACTTCGAAATAAAAAAAAAATTACCTATTCAAATTTTGTTAACTTGTTTCATACATGAAAGAATTTGTGTCAGCAGCACAATGCTTTTCAAACAGATTCGAATAAATAAAATCTATATCCGCCAGCATTGAAAGAGACTTTTTTTCTCAAAGGTATTTATTACATATGCACAACTAGAAGTATGTATGTGTGTGTGTGTGTGTGTGTGTGTGTGTGTGTGTGTGTGTGAACAGGAAAATGCTCTAATTTTATATACGGTGAGCATTGACTGAGCGTACAAAGTTGCATGTGTGCGTGTGTGAGAGAGAAAGAAATTTAGTTTGTAATGTATCTTTCAGTTATACACTTTTCAATTTGTAGGTGGCTACATATGTGTGCATGTGTGTGTGACTGTGAATATATATATATATATATATATATATATATATATATATATATATATATATATGTGTGTGTGTGTGTGTGTGTGTGTGTGTGTGTAAGGGGTGCATGTATGTGACTTCGTGTACATGTGTGTAATTTTATGTAAATGTGTATAACTTCTGAGCAGTGATGAATATAATTTAATTAATTTTTTTTTCAGCAAGCATTGAGTCGGTTTACTTATATTTTAGATGTGACACGAAAAACTGAAAATTATTCTATCAAATGTTTGGTACCAATAAGGACTATAAGTCATAGATGTAAAAAAAAAAAACAACAAAAAACCTCGATAATGAGTGAATCGCAAATTTTAATTGAAACCGCATTTAATTTTTGCCAGAAAAATAAAGCTGGATCGAATACAACTTACAAATCGATCTATGAAGTCTATAGAACGAATGGAAACAATATAGAACTTAAAAACCGAAATAATTCGATATTATTCCACTTCAGCAAAGATTTCTGGTGAAACTAAATAAATAGTGAAACGTTTCAAAATTATAAAGAATTACTTACTTGTTTCTTATTTAATCATATATATATATATATATATATATATATATGAAGAAATATAGTCTTAAGATGTGCTATATTTATGGGATAAAGTGCTCAATATCAGAGATAGAGCGTGTATAAATATAAAAGTGAACATAGAAGTCAACACTTAGAAGCGACAGTCTGTTTCATGCTAGATGCAATCGTCAAGCCTGACGATTGCATCTAGCATGAAACAGACTGTCGCCTCTAAGTGTTGACTTGTGTTCACTTTTATATATATATATATAAGCGTAAAAATGCTTGGTGTTGACGTTTCTGTCCACTCCGTTTCTTGCATTTCTCCTCCAACCTGCACACACACATATATATATATATACATATATTATCACATCGGTAATACCCTCATTACTCTGAAGAAATCCCTTCTAGTTCCTCAACAAACGGAAAAATGGAACATCTTCTTCCCCAGAACTGTAGCATTGTAGAACAGGCTCCCGAGAGAATGGGCTACGATCTTAACTTCTTCAAGTCTAGGGTCAACCATTATCTATACTACATATCCTCATAATATGTACCTCTTATTCCTGCCTAGTACGACCTTAGAACAACTTTATTTAGTAACCGTCTACCCTAAGTGGCTCTTGAGCCTTGCATTGGAACTATAGCTAAAAAATACTAGAAAAATTCAATAAAAATTAATCAAATTTTGAAAGGAACATGTTTGAAAGAGACGTTGCTGCTCAAATAGATAGTTAGATAGATAGATAGATAGATAGATAGGTACTAGGTAGATAGATAGATAGATAGATAGGTACTAGGTAGATAGATAGATAGATAGATAGGTACTAGGTAGATAGATAGATAAGTACTAGGTAGATAGATAGATAGATAGATAGGTACTAGGTAGATAGATAGATAGGTACTAGGTAGATAGATAGATAGATAGATAGGTACTAGGTAGATAGATAGATAGATAGGTAGGTACTAGGTAGATAGATAGATAGATAGGTACTAGGTAGATAGGTAGTAACCATTGTCTGTATGTGTGTTATTGAGAACAATGCGAAAATAATAAAAACGAATAAAGTATTAACATACATACACGTTGAAAAAATATTAATGCCCAAAAAACTGTCAAAGAAAATTTATTTACTAAGATTAAAGTTTTTTTTAGAATTTAATCTAAATTCACTCGTCTAGGTTACCCAGTGACGATCGAACTGAAAACTTCATAGTAATAATCAGTCCGACGTTAAAATTTGCGACAAGCAAAAAAAAAAAAAAAAATAGTAATAATACTAATAATAAAAAATAATCTGAAAATCAAGAATTTTTTTTAAAGAAATTATCTGTTTCGTTTTTTTCCTAAAACACACGTCAAGGAACCCCTAGTGCGAAATATAATCCTAGGGCCTAGTATTTTTAGTGATCTTTCAGAAATTTACAAAATGTCAGATTGTAACATTTAAAAGCATCGGTTATTTGATTACACTTTATATATCAAATCCATTTTTAAATGAGGACAAAAAATTATTGTTTACTTACTTTTTGGCATTTCACCATTTTCTCGAAGTGCGGCGGCGTTTGGGGACAAAGGTGCACTTTGAACTAAGGTGAGAAATGCAAAGATTATCGCAAGAACAATCATTATGGAGTTCATGTTCCTTGTTTCTTTTTTTTTTTTTTTTTTTGAAAAGTCAAATATAAATAATAAAAGTAAAACTATAACAAAGTTTGTTCCACGTCAGTTAATTTATGTTTTCTGCGATGTCGTTATCTCGGGAATTAATGTTGTCTTCTTCTTTGAATTGTGAATTGTAAATGTTGTCTCAATTGAATTTCCAATGATCTGATGAACCATGAGAGAGGCAAGTTCTTTATAAAGACACCGGCGACCACACGTTGATTTCATGACGAGTAATGGGTAAGTTAGGATAGCGAAAGATTATTGGCTAAGCTTAAGACCGGAACAAATTTACAGTTTGTGGTTAAGTCACATCATTATTATCATCAGCATCATCGTCATTAAAGTAGTAGTTGTTGTTATTATTATTATTATTATTATTATTATTATGTTTTCTTTTAATCATCTCTTAAGATTTCGTTTATTTTAAGATTTAATTTTTATTTTTTTAACGAATTTGAGTCTGTTCTTATCTATCTACAATTATTTTTCTCTATATATATAACAATGTATTTAAGGCTGTTCATATCTATCTATTTTAGTTTGTTCTTTATCTTTCTTTCTCTCTCTCTCCATACACACACATATATATATATATATATATATATATATTAAATAGACAGTGTATTTATGACTGTTCATATCTAACTATCTCTGTTCTATCCCTTTATATATATATATATATATATATATATATATATATATATATATATATATAGAGAGAGAGAGAGAGAGATAGATATGGGTATGATAAAACATACGTATACGAACATATACTTGCATGTACATATATATTTTTCTCATGTGTTATAAAAAGAGTGCTCAATGTTATATAACAGATCTATTAGCCTATTTAAGTCTGTTAATATTTATCTATC